ATCACCCTTCTCTGTCCAAATACGTCACTGAGAACTAATGACTGCATTTCCAAGGACAGAGATCCTTGGAGAAAGTATCCCAGGTTGCAGAATTTTGCTCAGTGTGTTATTAGGTGTTTGCTTTGTAGAAAATCAAGTTGAGCTGTTCATATTGTCCCTTGCTTTAAGGGAAGGGCTTAGATACTCCACACATTGTTCAAAATTCCTTTCCAAAGGCCATGTATATGGACCTCAAGTGAGTCTATCATGTAACATATGCCTTTTCTTTTTGCTTTTTTTTTTTTAATCTGTTTTGCCCAAGCCCAGATGGAATATCCAGTGCTGATTCCATTACAAGGAATATTCAAATCCCGTTGTCACAAGAACACTAATTCCAACAATTTTTATTGGTCACCTTTACTGCCTCTTCAGAAAGAAAGTCCAAGCTTAAAAGGGTCCAGAATTCTGTCTGCAACATTTATTAATTATTCATTTATCCTGATAAATTATGCAAGCCAGATCTTCCATTATCTCTGGGGCTACCTGTTAAGGCTTCTCCAGCTTTTAGCTATTTTTATTCCCTTGATACATAGATAACAGCAGACTAACCAAATAGTTATCACTTCTCTACTCAGAAACAGATAGGAAATTCTTATCCTTTTTTTTTTTTTTTACCTTTCATTGGCTCCCAACTCTTTGAGCCTCTTATTTTATTCTAACCAGCAGCTTTCTATCTAAATTTGATCCAGCTCTCTTTAGAAGGCAACTGAATCTCCAGTAAAATATATATGGTCTTTCTGTGTTCATACAAAGAAAACTCCTGCATCATCTTGCTCAGTTGCCATTTAGCTTATAGATGTCTAAATACCACAAGAACACCTCTGTTGCTCATTTCAGTGAAAGTATTCCACTGCCTAAAATTCTGCATTTCTGAGCTTGGATTGCCATAAATCCTGACAAGTAACTTTGCACTTAATTTCTAAACTTAATTAGTACCAAGAAAATTGGCTTCATCATCACTTTCATCCTTGGAGGCACTGACCTGGTAGGCAAGTGAACAGCCCAGGATTGCCCTCTGCACAGAATTAGCCTCTGTTTATGTTTGATAAAACATAGCAAGGGATTAGAACAGTTTTTGAGGCATGTGAAAATGAATTTTCTTCTCTTAGGCAGAAGACAAGTTAGCTTAAGAGCTACAAAACCAAGATGACTTTTACAGGAGTACTATTATTGTAATAGCGCACATTAAGATGTGGTAAACAAGTCACATCTTTTTCCATAACAATTTCAGTCTGAGCAAGACTGTAGAATTGCCAGACAAGTTGGGAGGTTTCTAAGCAATCTGATTGTTTGACCAGATAACATTTGAGAAACACAGATCTATTTCTGTTATTCCTTGACTTTTTTTTTCCAAATCAAGGAGTATGCTCAGGCCACAGGGGAAAACTGAAAATGTAAAAAAAAGTAGGCCTACTAAACTACTAAGAAAATTTTTAAAAGCTAATTAGAGAGGAGGGGGTGAGAAAGATATCTACTGTACCCTGGGTTTTACATTTTTTCAAAATACTCACAATGTAATGGAGAAAGAAATAACCTGTACCTAACTGTAGATATATTACACTCTAATACACTTTAATATCTTTAAGATCTTGTTTTGATAATTTCTCATACTGTCCTCTTAGCCAGGATTTAAATTCAAGGAAAAAGAGCAACTAAAAAGTCCTTGTCCCTCAAAAAAAGCAGAAATAGAGATAGTAAAAGGATAATGGTTACATAATATTGACCTCTATCCAAAATTCATGAAAATTTTCTGGTAGGAGTCAAGAGGAAAGATGAGAGATCCAGTCAAAAGATGTTTGCAACTGACCCAGGCATCCTGGAAAAAAATGACTGAAGTCTGTCTACTTGGAAAGAGACAACAGCAGTGTCTGCAAAAAAAGACACTACGATAGCACAAACTGTGTTGGTTTCTATGTCAATACATGATATGTGGTTCAGGTATTAAAGTCACAAAGCAGGGGTGGAGTGCTTTACTCTAAAATAGGTTATAAATTAACAGACATCTCAGATACAGAATATTACACTAGATAATCCCAAATAACTTTTTTTTTTCCAAAAAATACAAAGCAGCTATCAATAGTTTGAAACAGTAGACCCTTCCTTGTGAGAGTTTAGGGATATAGAGTAAAGCAGAAAAGGAGTTGAATCCAAGTTATACCTCAGTAGGATTCCATGAAATATTTTGCTGTAAAAGCAAATATATTTTATTAAAAATATAAAAAAATAAATGGATAATGAAAGCATCTCAGCACTTTAAGACAATACAAGGACACAGAGCACACCTATATTTGCTTGTAGCAAAATCATAATTTTTAAAAATATCTTTTACCATATTTGCAATTGGTTACAGCTACACCAAATGTGTTAGAGCGATGTAAAAGTATCACAGAACAGTCTGATTTAAGAGTGATGCCAGATGAATGACTAAAATAGGGCATTCTGGAATCTGAAGAGTTACAGTTCACCCAACTATCTTCCTGAAGCACTCCTGTGAAGCTGTGCCTTCCAGGAAATTTCCCAAGGGACAATATAAGAAAAACCTCCCACTCATGCTATGTGGCTAGCTCTGAGAAAGGGCATTGCAAAAATGAGACAAGTATTTTCAAAGGATCAGTGGTGACTAGTAAAGTTCTAAGTCATGTAGCATGAAAAGAGACTAGCAGCAAACACCAAAATCCCTAGAGAACAAGCCACAATGAAGAAGCAATGCTTTTGCTTACAGAAAGAGCAGAAGCACAGACAGATCTGCAACTGAGATATTGAGAAAATTTTCACAAGAGAAATGATCTTTGTGCTGAACAATTTTTCCAAGGAATAATATAAAGAGTCTGCTCTGGCCTGGATCCCAAATCCAGTGTTATCACCACAAGCCAACTGACAGCCAGAGGAAAGAAATCAACTCTAAGCATCCAAAACAAACAGAAAGCTTCATGAAAATGGAATCAGACATCTCCTGGCTGAGGAAAACAAACTATGAGAAAACTAAAAATTGTTTGTCTTGCTGCCACATTTGCATTTTGAAAATTATATTCAGAAACCATTATGTTATAGACTTTTATCCAGCATCTGTATAATTTATTTTTCTCATTATGATTTGGGCAAAGGAGCAGAAAGAAGACTTCTTAAATTTGCAAATGAAAAAAATGAGTGTGCTTGAAGGAGATACTTGTGGAATGAGATAAAAGAAAACAAAGATTAATAATGGACAAAGGTAAAATCCTACATGTAAAATTTCATAGATAAGAGAGAAATGAAAAACCTATATTGTAGGAAGGAAGATCGGGAGATGCAGCGAATTACAAGCTGAACTTGAATCAGTGATCTCCTGCTGCTTTCGAAAGCAGGAAAATACTAAACTGATATGTATTGTTTGAAAGATATGTGAAACACTTTTTCCAGTCTACTCAGCAATGGTCAAGCTTCACACTGAGACCACTGTCAAGCTTGGGCACAATAGTTCCAGAAGAATACACATCACTGGGAGGTAGCCCCTCCAGGAATATTATCAGAGGACAGAAAAAAAATCAGTATGAAGCTGTAGTTGGGTTTTTTGTTTGATTTGGATTTTTTGTCTTTTTTTTTAGTTTTTGTTATATAGTAGATAAACTATTCAAAATGTATCTAAAGTCTATATTATATTATACCATATAAAATAATTTCACAACACTTGTTTCTACAGTTTCTTTTTGTCTGCTTTACAGGTCAGCAGGTTACAGAATGTAACCTAATGTGCTTGTTAAAACTTTGCCTCATTTGTTTACATAGCTAAAACCCTTAGGACAGTATTTTATGAACCCTCAGTGACTCTTGCGACTTCGCAAATGAACTCTAAAAAGAAGAAAAACCATGAGGAATGCTATTCATTCACTGACTTCCATTTATAAATCAAATGTATCAGTGGACATATGAGGGTGAGCTGTACAGAATATTCTCATTTCATAAGCAGGCACAAATCAGTTCTGCCTGTGCTCTGAACCAGCCCAAAGCTGTGTGCAAACACCACCCACAAGCTCCTCAGAATTCCAGTTTCAGCTCAGCACTGCACTAATACAGCCACAAGCAATTCCAGATCAGAACTACCACCAAGCCCAGCAAGACTTCTCATGTCTGCCTGCAGAAACCTTTTCACAGTATCTGCTAAAAACTTACTGCACCTTATGGATTTAGTCCTTTCTTCTCTAATTTCTTCCCTAATTTTTTTTTAGAAAAATGGTGGGACCATTAATAAATCAAAATCAGCTCTCTATTTGGTTAGGACTGATTACAGTACAATCACTCTGGTTAGTGTTAGTATACAGTGCTGTATTTTAAGACAGCTTACAGCTACAGTCCTAAAATAAACACAAATAAAATACCATTGCACTGAGTGTGAAGGAAGACTATGTTCACATAAACAGGCCTCAGAATGCAACTCTGAAGACAGCTCACTCTGAAGAGATAACATTTGTGCTATTTTTGGAGACTGCCACCTTCAAAAGCATGCTTCATCTGCTGCAGCAAACCAGGCCACGCAAATGAACATACACTTACGGTCCCAAGCACTAATTATCTGAATTTTGCCTTGAATTTCAAATGAGTGGCCCCATTTACTGGAATGTTAGGAATTCTACTGGAATTTTATTTGGCAGTTTTAGATACAGAAGCCCATTTAAATCAGTAGGAATATTTCTGAGATGTCCAGTAAGGTTACTGATAATGTTTTATTGCTTGCTTTTGGAGTATGAACATGTTCATGAATATGGTTATGACTGTTGAATTAAGTGATGATCAAATAACATTGCAAAAATTCTGATAATGGAGTGGCTTCTATTATCTCCCTTAAAAGGATATACACTTTTTAACACAGGCTGTCAGATATGCTTCAGCAGTTAGGAAAAGCCCTTTTGTTGATTTTACTAACAGCAGAGTTGAATGAGACACCTTCACTGTGTGAGAAGTCTGTGATGTAAAATCCATCTTACCTTCAGCTGTACCAGATGCACATCCACGTGCCTGCTGTCCGAGTCCTGCTGGACAGAGTAGGTCAGGTCCCGGACCCTCTCAGACGTCATCCGAAGCCAGGTCTCGATTTCCGGCAAGTGGAGAACAATCTTCCAGTCGGCCCCGGTGTGCAGAGGAGGGGGCTTTTCATACTGCTGCCCAGAGTCAAGGTCCTTCAGGACATCCCCTTCCCCTTCTTGTTCCACTGTAGGAGTCATGTTTATGAGCATGGGAGAGGCATCAGATGGCATCGGATCCAGTTCTTGTGTTCTCATGGGAGAAAGTGCTACATCCATGGCTAACGCGTCAAAGCATAAACCATACTGCTTTCAAAAATAGCTGCAAAGATAAAAAGAAAACACATCGCTGTTTTGAGAACAAATTTAGCAACAAAATGCTCAAAGACAAGGAGTAAATTATAATATCTGAGATGTACTGCACATCTAAATAAATTCTTCACCCTAAAAATCTACACTGGAAGTTCAAAACTAAATAGATTTTTTCAAAATAACTTTGTTGATTTGAATATCGTCTTTGTATGAGAAAAATAACAAATACTGCATTTCTTTCATTGTAATTTCCAATCATCTTGGAAATTATAGTTTTCACTAATGAAAAATATGTTCTGATTTTTTACAAATGCAACTTAAAGAAATGAACATTGGCAAAAGCCAGCAGAAATTTAGTGAACTCCACAATTAATAGAAGACTGGTATTTGTAAACTAGTACATATTGCAACATATTCCTTGGCCTGAAATTTAAGACTAAACACAGTATTTCAAGATTCATTTAAATTTCCCTGCTGTTCACTCAACTATTGATCATGTACAACAAAAAATTTGCATGCAAACTTGAAGCAATTATTGAGGACACTCGATTGATTTATTGATTTCCATTTTGAACTTTAAATTCTAGTAGTTTTGTTAAATTAAGAACTGTTGCAATAAGCAACAACTCTAGCAAAACATAGATATAATAATTCCCAAGGTCAAAACACATACCTAAAAATAAAACATCATTTTACAAAGTGGCTTTATGAAAGCCCAAATGCTGTGTCATCAATATACACTTATGAGATCCACTGGACAAAGTAAGCAAAACATTTTATTTTGTGCCTCTTCCTCTGTATGTTCTACATACAGAAAAAGACTGCCATAAACCCTATGCATAAAAGGAAAAAAAAAAAAACCCACAGAACCAAAACAAACAAGCTAAAAAGTAACCCCAAACAACTTTACTTATTTTACAAAAAAATCTCTAAGACTGTAGAAATACAGACTTTTCGCTGTTCAATCAACACTGTGACTACTGAGTTATAGTCCTAAATATTTAATGTGGAGTCTCAGCATCCAGAAATTATTCCTGCAGGCAGTGAGAGTATTAAAGAAATATCCAGACACAATTTCACTTGTCATAGCCAGGAAGGAAAAAAAATTATATTTTATGTTAATTTTGTTTCCTACCCTGCCACTACTTCGTCAATCATTGTTTGCACATCTATCACACTCACAAAACAGTATGTTAAAGTTATACTAAATATTAACACTATATATAAATGTGGCATTTCAGAACAAAATTTTCTATCAGTGCAATCAAGCAAAGGAAATGAAAGAAGAACCCAAATATTCTTAGTGCCTGCTGTAGTGCAATTTTCAACTCTTTTAGCTCAAATTTTGAAAAATTACAAATTCAATTGTGTTAAATAAAATGTTCTACAGCAAAGCTGGATGAAAGTATTTCAGGATGCTGAGTATTTTTTAAGTTCATCTCTTCACATTGCCTATTTTTCAGCTCAAACTCTGCCAAATGTACTCAACAAAAATTATTAGGAAAAAAATCAGTGTAATAACATTTTTGTTTGAGACATTGCTGATTATAGCCCCAGTTCTAAAGCCTAGAATTCACCTGTTCTAACAACCAAAACTATCCCAATATTTTAAACATATTAGTTACATTATTTCCTCCTGAAAGTGAAATTTTGATGAAACACATGTAGTCCTTATTCCTGCATGTTTACTGTCAAATATGCCTACCAGAGAACAGCTGTGAATCACTAAATGATACCAAAGCACAGCAAGAGCAGTGCCTGCTTCGGGTTTTTTCACAAAAACAAAACAAACAAACAAACAAAAAAATCAGCCCAAAAAAACAACCACAACCCTGGCACTCTTGCAGAGTTTTTCAGTATGACTCAGCTCTAGTAAGGACATTAAAGCAATTAGCAAACAGAAATGAAAACATGCTCCTGCAGAAGCAAACAAAAGCTGCTCCGTGCTGCATGCAGAGCGCGCTTCCAGCTTTCATGCACTGAGTGGGCAATTAGCAACATTAGGAACCTGCTGACCTGGTTTTTGTTACGATGTGCTTGACTCTGTAAGAGTGGCTCTCCAGCATTGCAGCTAATGCCTCCTTAATCCTAGCAGCTCTTACAGCCAAGTCCTTTACATTCTCCCCTTTCTGCCAGAGCACAAGTTGCAACACTTCAATTAAGAATATGTGGAGAAACTTTAAAATAGATAATTCTTTTCTTTACATCTTCTTTAAAAATTATACAATAGTAATAAAACACACTGTGGATACTAATTAGCAAGGTCTGTGAAAGCTTTAAAAAGCTCACAAATGCTTGAAAGGAGAAACTTGGAGCTAGAAATGACCGAATCCAAACACTAGGACACAGATTTCTTTCAATTGATTCTTGGCAGAATAAAAAGGCATCATCCAACTGTGCCGCGAGAAAGGACGACTGGGAGGTTCTCCGGGAACACCGGACCGAAGGAGGGCGGCAGCGGTGGCGCTCCTGACCCCGCCGGCAGCGCGCAAACCGCGCGGCCCCGCCCGCAGCCCCGCCCCGGAGCGCAGCCCCGGCCCCGCACGCCCCGCACGCCCTGGGTGCCGGCAGGGAACAGGGAAATCCCCCGCGCACAGGCGCTTCTAATAAATTCTAATGTTGGGGTACAAAATAGACCCAGCAGCAACAGCCAGCCTCATATATAGACATATCTATTTTGTGCAATTCAGGAGTTATAAAACTTGCCGAAACACTCTTGGTAAGTAGGTTCTGCTAGAAAAAGGGGATAGGAAGGGATGATGAAGTTAAACAATACTTTGGGGTCACGTGTTGATATTTTAAATGACTGATTTAAATGCTGGCCTTAAATTTGGTTATATTTCTGGAGTATTTTTGTTTTTCCAGATTTTGCGAGATGTACAAATAGTGAATTGTAAACCACTACAATTAAGTGTTATAATACATATCAAAACTGAATTTTTTCTTAGAGGCAATCTTTCTACCTTGCAAAAATAACTTTTGAAATGAGGTAAAGAAGGGATTCTATTTCCTTCTAAGCAGGACCTTATCACTCCAAAAATTTTTTATAAAACTCAAAATCTGTGCTCAGTCTCATTTTCTGAATCACAAAATCCTGGTAGCATCAATGACAGTTTTAGGTGGGTAAGCCATTCTAAATCACATTCCAGTTTTTTTCTAAGCCAAACCTTTTCTGTACCCTGAAGAGCTATACAAACCAGCTGATTTTAAATTTGCAGCAAAATAGATGAAAATGCAATGTCAAAAAAAAAGTTCCATCTTTTAATATGTGCAGGGCATAACCTTATTTTCATCATCACAATTAGACTGAAAGTTATGATGCCATTATCTCTAAAAAATGCTCCCCCAATAATTTATTTCTACAATTTCAAAAGCTACTGTTTCTGTCTGCTGAAGGGCACATTTAAGAACTATAATACACTGCTACCAGCTTGCATTCCTTCTGGTGGGGAAAAAAATTGATGAGTTGAGCATATTTTTTTGCCTTGTGTTAATCCTTCTTATACAGTTTTACATTGTCATGGATCCTTGTATAAAAGGTGAGAGATCCTGTGTAAGCACATGCACACATATGCTTTCTATCTTCATCTTCAGTAAGTGCATTACACCAAGCAGATGGCTGATCACCTTCCACTGATCACACAGACAATCTCACTTTCCCCTGCTCTTCCACTCAGTCAGATGCCAACACTCTTACACAAAGCATAGCATGTCTGTGTCAGCCATAATAGAGTTTGTCAATCACCACAAGCCTTGGAAGGCTTCTTGCACTCATTCCGCTCCCCAGTGGTTCACGTTTCCCTTGTTTATAAAGTGCAGGCCACATTCACTCTGCCAGCTATCAGATCATCCACATTTTCCTCCAATAGCAGTTAGCTCCTGTCAAACAAAGAATCATTAAGCATTTTAAGCCATAGAGTAGTCCAGTCATTGATCAGTGGTGCAGACACTGGGTCATATGAATGTTAATGAGCTCTAATTTCCCTTACTGTCACATGGTGTTAAAATCAGCCATAGTCACTATACAGCCACCTGTCTGTCACGTAAATAATTTATTTCTATCTCAAAAATGCCAGAAAAAAACCCCAGAGAAACTCCACCACTTAATTTTGTCTGCTTGCTGACTTTGAAATCTAATGATGTAAATTTTTAACGTCAGATTTAACGAGCTCATTGATGTTGAATTTTCTTGAATAGATACAGTGAAAATGAATGTCTCACACAGACAAGTTATATTATCTTTTCCATTTCAGTAGTCTCAGGAATTCTCTGCCAAGTTATAAAGCTCATTATACTTTTCCTTGAAAATGTAATTAAGTTCGTCAACTACAAAGATAAATTATGTCAGTACACAAAAAAACCTGAAATATATCATGTCAGTTACATATAGAGCAACTTGAATTTAATACCACAGTAAGTCTATCCATGCTACACTGATCTTGTTGCTGATTTCCTGTATCATTTAAGAAATAAACTATTTGAAAAAGCTTTGAGTGAACTGAATTTTAGTGGACCCAGTTTAGGTTTTTCTCTTTGTATCATTCCTCCTGAATTTGTTTGAGAAATGCCTCCTTTGCAATTATACTATTATTATATTTAAATTCTGAACAAATTGGACAACTTTTCATTTAGGACTGCATGGCCTCCTCTTTCCTATGTGAGACTGTTAGAAAGTATATCTGATAGGGAACAGGATGGTGCCTCAATTCCTTCAGGATACAGACCAAAGAGACTTACACAGTGATTCCAATATTAAACGTGAACACATGAGTCATGATTAGTTTTTAATGTGACTGATTTAAAGTCCATTGAAAAGTCTGCCCCCAAGGGTTTAATGGCAACAAAGCCAGACCATCAGGTTTTAACTGTGGAAGTCAAACCATGGACATTCAAGTTCCTGATTATGTGAATAAATCAGAATTTAAGACACCACAGCATAATCTTTCTTATTTACAGTTTCTTTTTCTAATATGAGGTGACGTAAAATGCAGAACTTCAAAGGCAAGTGTT